ATTGGTCAGATTTGGTTTATAATTTTGTAATAGTTTTTTAAAATCATAGTGAAAATCTCAAGCGGGATTTAGTTAGGGACTGGATGTACACCCGGGGTGGTGGAACCAGTATAAAAGCTTGTGTTTGTGATTGCTATTTTTTGTGATTGTTGTTATCTTTCTTGTAATTTATAATCTACTTTGCAAAAATTTTAAATAAATGCTATTCGTCCCCCTCTAGTGTTTAGTGTGTACTTGGTCAGATCCTACACCGACCCACAAAATGGCCAAGGCGCCTCCTTCTTAGAAGCACAGTACTCCCGAGCATGACCTGAGTGAGTTTCGCTTGTAGTGGTTATTGAAAGTGGATGAATCCTCTAGAAAGGGAGGCAGTGGAGCTAGAGTAGCCCTATGTGGCCTTGATGGGTCCACACATCAACATTCCATCACTTTCGAGTTTTTAGCCTCAAACAACAAGGCTGAGTACAAAGCACTCTTGGTAGGACTCTAAGCTCTAGGCAGTGGAGCTGGAGTTTGCAGTTAAGGTTGAACTCATCTACATCTTGTCATACTCTCAACTTGTTGTCTACCAAGTAAGGAGAGATTATAAAGCTAAAGACTTGAGAATTATCCTGTATTTGAAGGCGGTCTAAAGGCTATTGAGCAATTTTGAAGATTTTAGAATCTCAAATTCCCTCGCACCCTCAATGCTTGGAAAGATGCCTTATCCAAGCTCGGAGCGCAAGGAATAGTCAGGGATCCTTGTATACGGACACCTCAAGAACCCTAACATCATGGAAGTTCCAACTAACTCAATGATGCAACCCAAAGCACCAATGGAGCCCTATTGGATGGATCCTCTCATCTAGTACTTGATAGTGGGGACCTCACTAGAGAATGCTACTGAAACAATGAGTCTACAAAGAAATACTTGAAGATATCTTATGATCGATAACCAGCTTTATCGAATCTCATACTCCTGTAGTAGTGTGTGCCCTATCTCAGTTGTCTTCGGCCAGCAAAAGGTAGTTATGTTCTAAAAAAATACATGAGGGAACTTGCAGGAATCACCTAGAAGCCAAACCTCTCACTCAAAAGGTAATTCGTCAAGGTTATTATTGGCCTACCATCCTAGCCGAGCTCGAAAGACTCGTCTCTCGATGCAAGACTTGCTAATTCTTCTCGAATGTACCGCGAGCTTTAGCAATTGAACTCACTCAAGTCGTAAAGCCCAATTCTCTTTGCTCAATAGCGGTTGGATTTATTGGTGCCTCTCCCAACAGTTTCAGTGCAACAAAAGTTTCTAATAGTGACCATAGACTATTTTACGAAATGGATAGAAGCTAAGCTCTTGGCCAAAATCGTGAGACCAACATCACCAATTTCATGTGGAAATCAATCGTCTATAGATTTGGAGTTCTCATCTCATTCGTCACCGACTACAGCATCCATTTCTATAGCAAAGGCTTTCGAAGTCCTTTTTAAGAATGGAAAATACAGCTCGAATTCACTTCAGTGGCGCACTCAAAATGCATCGGGCTTGCAGAGACCACCAACAAATGCATACTCTAATATCTGAATTGTAAAGATGGAAGTGAGGTGGGTTTAATCTAGTGCCCATATTAGATTTTAAGTAGTCTCTACTTAAAATAGTCTTGTCTAGATTAAAAAACAAACATTGACCAAAGAAGTAGATTTGGACTATTTTTAAATAGTAGCCTCACTATTTTAAATATTAGTATTAATTTTTTTAAA